AGAGGACTTATCAGATTTAATAAAAAATTTGTGAGAATATTAAAAAGAAATTTGCCAATTAAAAAAAAACAAACATTGAAAATGATCATGCAAATTGCGCTCAAACGAAAATTTATCAACGAGCTCTGATCAAAAATATATTAGAATTTAAAAAGTTATTATATTTATGAACAAATTTAATAGTTTAAAAATATTTTTTATTGATTGTTTGCAAGAAATTTATGAGATTTAATTGATTTTTTTTTTGATTTCAAATAAAATTAAATAGTAAAATTATGAAAAATGTCATCGATTTATAGAAAAGTATTCATAACTAATCAAAATTTGTGATAAATTCAAAAGGATTGAAAAGATTTAAAAGTAATATCCAAATATTTCATTTATTTGTGCCATTTTTTATTTTTTAATAAAAATTTTTGCGTTTTTTTTTTGTGATTAATTTTTAATTTTACAATGCAAATTCATTCTATCTTTTTTTCTTTGCATTTAAATTGTAATCATTACAGAAGTAAAGAATTCAGTGACTCAATCCTTTATTCATCTATCCATCATACTTCATTCATTCGTTCATTCATTCATTCATTCATTCGTTCATTCATTCGTTCATTCATTCGTTCATTCATTCGTTCATTTGTTTATTTCGTTCGTTTGCAACTCATACAGCTCACTTTTTCCTATTTTTACGTTTTTACGTAATATATCAAAACATTTTTAAAATCTTTAGATATATTTTATAATTCATATATATATATATTTTTTTTTGTTCTTTTTTTTGCATCTCTAATTGAGTTAATTAGTAAGCAAACATAAAATAGCGCTCTCGGCTTTTATCTTTTCACGCATGCCTACACCAATTTTTCACGTAACATAGAACATACACAAGGATCAGCAGTATAAATAAAAGTAATATTTAAAAACGTGTATAGCTGACGTAATTTTTACTTATTCACATGCATGAAAAACATGAATTTTAACGAAACTTTGAAAGTAAATGACCTTGAGACACGGCCTTGTAAAATTACTTTCGATGTCTAATATTGCTTATTTCTCTGTTCTCTCTTCTTTCGTCACTTTGATTTCTCTTCTAATTACATTATCATTTTCGTATTCTCGGCAATATCAATGATGTTTGCACATTTTCTAATTCCCTATTCATGTTGTCTTTTTTAATTGCTTTTTTGTCTGCTCATACTCTTTATACACTATCAAATTGTTATTCATATAGCCTATGTGTACTTCTTCATTTTGATAAATTTATCATTTTGTCATATTTAACAGACCGCAAGTATGTGCGTACGTCAGATTTAACCTCATCTTTTGTACTACTGACCTATTATTTGCGAGAAATTCTTATTTTCGCTGACTTTCTATACGACTTTTAAAGTTCAAATATTTAAAACGTTAGTAAAGTAAAGTGATAAGTTAGGGCTTAATCCAAGTATTTCTCACGTGAACTATGATAGTACATGAAGTATTCAAAAGTAGATGGGATATGTTAGTGAATTGTTTTATTTTTATTTTTAAATTGTCATCTTAAGTTTATATTTGTAAATCGCGGAATTAATTATGTACACTAATTATGAATGACTGCATAACTAATGTACATAATTAAAAGATGAAATATTATTAGTCATGAAGTATTAACTTGACGTAGTCTACGTGTTAGCATAAAAAATGAGCATAAAAAAATTTGATGTTTGTAAAATCTTAGGTTAAGCGTTGCTTCCTTCTGAATCTTGGAGGGATGTTAGCAGCGCAAAAGAAGTCATGACAACAACATATACTTCACATTCTCCAGCAGCATTAGCAGCATCATCAAGGAGATTTGTTTATCATCAACATCAGCATCTTAATTCAAACCAACGACGATATCACCGAATCCATCCGTCAGTTTTGAATTCTAATCTCACTTCTACTACAATCGGTACCACAAGTATATCACCTTTATCAGTACAACATATTGTGAACAGTACTGCTGCTACAGACACAGTACCTTCTATAATTGATATTATAACATCAACAGTACCCTTTGATAGTATAGTTGTACAAAGTTTAGCAGTCGCAACAGCAACCAACAGTACTATTTGTAGGCCATCATCCTCGGATTGTGGTGGCTCTTCGTCTGGTCTCGGTGGTATGACAAAAACTGATATTATATCATCAGACGAATCATCGCTAGCCAGGTTAATGCTAATTATTTATATTTGTTTATGCACAAATTACTCTTCACTTCTTATTATAAAATATTTAATAATAACTGATACGGCAAAAAAAGAGTATTTACTTACTTACTTAAATACTTATTTACTTCTTAATAATTATTACTGTCGGAAAATCAGAAACAACAAAGAAACTATTTGTAGACTGTAAGAATGGGAAAGCGAATGATTAACTCAAATGTCCATTTTTTTTAGATTCATAATATTTTAATATTTATTTTAAAAAAAGCAGAAAAAAGTACAGAATTGTTGTACTTGATAATTGCTACAAAAATTAAAATAACTGATCATGTAATGCAAGAGAATGAGTTTAACTTTTTATAGTTATTTTATTTTGAGTGTAAATGTAAAGAAATTACAGAAAAGTAATCACGATTATATCATGAGAAGAGAAATAGATTTGTTGCTGTTAGTGATATTATCTTACAAGTATTAAGAATTATTTGTAGCATTATTTGTGAAGTGAAATGTTCTATTTTGAGCACATGAGATGTGTGTGATAAAAGAAGGAATTTATATAAGATATATGTGTCAATCAAAGGTTCAGTTTGTTTCAATCTAACTAATACTGTTATACTTTTCCATCTTATCTCCTTGTTAATCTCAATAATTAACCACATTGTCTGAAAAATAATAATACCTTTTAATTATTATGCAAATTTCAGCCAAATTAATTTTATACACTATTAAATATACACTATTATACACTATACACTATTAAAGTAATGAGTGATTATTACTTTATCTGGCTAATTGGTCATTATTGCATGGATGAAGTATGAGTGCTGTTGCAATACGCAATTTATAGCATATAGCAAGTTTTATCTGAAAGAATTTTGTAAATACAGAATAAAGTATGTTGAATTTTTTGTCAAATTACAAAAACTATTAAAAGTTGGAAATGTGCAAGGTAATTATTTATTAACAAAAGTTTTATTTTTGTACGGTAAAGATGCATGCGATTTTCTACAGAAGTAGTACAAAACTTTAAATGCTACTCGAGAGTGATACTGCAAAGATTATGAATATGTTGGAAAATTAGAAAAAATGAGCAGCTATTTAAAATGTGAGAAAATTGAAAAAAAAAAATGTGCAGTTTATTCGCAAATATTTTGCGAACATTTCAATCATTGTGAGCCTCATAAATTAGATCTGTGTGAGATTAATTGTGGCAAAAGTATTACTTTTCGTCAGTAGAATGTATAGTTATCAGAATAGATCTTTGTCGATGATTACTGATTATATTTGAGAGAATATCGTAGATTATGAGGTCATCTGTTAAAAAAAATGTTTAGATTATTGCTAAGAGTATAATAATTTTAGTAATTAAGACAAGTTAAAAGGATTATTATAAAGACAGTGTGAATATTTGTTTACATAGCTTGTCAATACTGCATACTTGCCTTATTATAGTTATAATTTAAATTGAAATTATTATGTGTAAAAAAAAATTGAATATTAATAGCTGTGTCAAGTTAGTGATAAGAATCATAGTGTGGAATGGAATGATAAAGAAAGAATAGAAGACATTTTGCTTGAAGGAATTGGAGGATTGTTAGTGAAGTTAGCAAAAAATTTTTGTAGTTAAATTAAGGAAAATTATTATTGCTTGAAGTGTGTAAAAATGACAATGAAAAGGACGAAATAAGAATGCTTGCAAAGGACACAAAGAAATAAACGATGTTTAGTCATTAGTGGGAAGAAAATTTGCATTGTTTGTACAGTACTTTGGTATTGTTTTGTATTTTGTAAATAACAACGAAGAGGCGAATTCTTCACTCTTTGCTACTTTTTTTATACTTATTCTATGCTTATATTCTAATTTATATATTCAAACTTTTTATTACCTAAAGTAGCGATTTTTCTTGGCTAATAGAGCATTTCAAGTTTGCTCTTAGAATGATACAGTACTGCATATTTTAAGTTAATGTAGGGGATTTTGTTTTATGTAATACAGTTTTTGATGAGCCAAATTAGTTAATAAATTAATTAATTGAATTTTACAGGATGAGAGTTTAGGTTAAGGATGAACAGTTAAAGAAGTAATTGCAGATAATTAATTATTAAGTAAATGGACAAAAAAATATGTGTGTGTGTCTTGTATTGGCTACTTTTTATCTGATGCATAAAGACAGGAAAAGAAAGCTAACTGCAGTTAGTTAGTACCTTATTAGAATATGCAAATTTATTACTATAATAAAGTCAAAAATTTGTGTACTCGTATAGATGGTTATTTCTTGTTTCGTTTTTTGAGGTTTTTGTTAAACGCCTTGATTGTCAAGGCAGCGGATGAGAATGCTATAAGTTTAATAAATTAAGAAGATCGTTAAAAATGAAGACTTCGGAATGACTGGACATTCTAGGGTGTAAGAAGAAACGATATGAAATAATTCTGATAGACGTTGGCATCATTATTCAGGACAGGTTGACTGTAATCGAAATTGATAAAAATTATGATCTACTGGCTAATAAACTCAAGTTAGAGATGAAATGCAGGGCAAAAATAATTCGTATGTGATGATTTGGAAAGGCATAGGTTCTATAACTGTAAGCGCTACGCCAAGGAGATCAGAATATCTGACCACATCGAGATATAAATCCAAACGATAGTGCTCAAGAAGACGCTCAAAAGCATCTCATTCGATCACAGTTATGGATTACACGAGGATGAAGTAATGCAGATCAGTAGAGCAGAACTGATCATGGAACGAATACAGCCTGCGTGCTAAAAGAAATACGATCCATCAGTAGAGAATCAGTAATGCGCAAACGAGAATTACCTCCTTGTATATATATAATATCGCGGAATTTAAAATAGATTTATATAATATATATATATATAAGCACAGATAAATGTGAATAAATGAATAAGATGAATTGATAAATGAATGAATGCGGAAGAAAGATAGACTTAGTAGAATATCGTTCAGTAATTGTAGAGTTGTGAAGGAGGAGAGCAGGAAGGAATGCGTGTCATTCCGAATTCTGCTTGCGTAAGCAGAGATATTCAGTGAACTGCGAAAAGAATGACAGTGACTACTACTACTACTACTACTACTACTACTACTACTACTACTACTACTATCGCTTCAATTCTACGCCCTCTTTGCGTGCATTCTTTTTGCTCTGCACGAGTAATAAATTGAAATGAATTGAATTAATTTGAGTGTAGTGTAGAGTAGTGTGTAGTGTAGAGTAGTGTTATGCAGTGAATTAACGTAAAAATGAATTTTGCGCACTAATTCTTTCTATGTATAATTAGTAGGATTATTTTAAGTCTTGGTATTATTTTTTGTAAGCATAAATTATTTTCAAAAGTTGTCAATTATGTTTATTCAGAAGTGTAGCAAAGAGATAAAATATAAGGTAATATTTTCACAATAAATTTAACAAACTTATTCATAAGTAATAAATACGTTACTATTCTTTTGCATGAATTAGCTTCATAGAATGTAAACAGTAAGTCCTTATTTGTCATCTAAAATTATTAGAAATAGCAATTTGCAACCGCAACGAATGAGAATCCAACAAACCTGTTTGGAGCTCAATTATGTTGTCCTTGCTGCTTTCTTAGATGTGATGTATACGTGTGTGTACAAACACATGTTGTATATGCATAAGTGTGTGTCTATGTATGTGTGTGTGTGTGTGTGTGTGTGTACGTGTATGTGTTTCTTGTACACAAGATAGCAAGTACCGGTCCGTTTTCATTCTTTCTTTTCTACTGCCAGCTGAGGGAGTAATATGAAGCAGTTGAATATTGTCCATCTGTAGACTTTCTTCTGCAACATTTGGCACATTTTTTCCATTATTTTCATATATTTGCATATTTATCTGTTTATTTATTGCTTTACTTTTTAAATTAATTATTCAATTAATGAATCAATTTATTTACTTACATGTTTATATTTATAGCTTGCAAAATGATTAGTTTAATAAAAAAAGAAGCATAAATCACTTCATCTTAATTACTCTTACTAGCATGATCATTTAGTCAGACTTGCTTACTTGCACTAGTCATCTTCTGGCTTCTTTCATTTGACGGATTAGAATGCAACAATTATTGTGTTTGTCAAGTGCTGGCGGTAACATTATTTTATAATATTGTGAAGCGAGCTGTTTCGTTAAATGTTACAGCAGCTTTACAATTTGAAATGAGCAATCAGTACTTCTACTTCTACTTGATTGAAACTGCTTTTGAAATGAGTGTGCAACAATGATTCTTGCTTGCAGTGACCAACCGTTGGGAGTAAAAGCTGCCTGGGTGATACCGCATCACGTGCTTCCGAATAGCATCGTACCCCCTGTGTACATGTCTTGCAACACTGCTCCAACGTCTTCCACTTCACCAACTCCTATGTTTTTTGATCAAGGTGTGTTCATTTTTGTTTACTAGTACTATTATTTTTATACTACTACTATTTGCAATAATAATTCATTGTTATCAATATTAATGATATTATTTTACTATTTGCCACTAATATTATTAATTACTACTCATTAGTGTTATTATTATGATAAATTATTAATGTTACTTCTGCCACCACCACAGTTGTGAAAGTATTCATAAATCACTCTCTGTCTGTCAAAAATTGCCAAATATGATTTTGCTTAATAATTAATGAAAACCATATTTAAATGTTTCAATATGATTGATCTGCCAAGTTATTTCGCGCTTTAATCGTCGTTATCACTGTGCACTAAGCATAGTGATAATAAAATGAATGACAATAATTTATGACAAAGTATAAGTCGAAGAATTTTTTCAGCGCAAAAAAAGGCTTAGGTTTGTGCTTACAGAGAGTAACAATTAGATTTTTAAGAAATTTCTAAGAAGCATTCTTGTAAATTAATTATGCACTCGTTAAGATGTTCGGGAACTGGAACTAAATTTTATACTGATAATATCGATACTCATTAATTAATTAATTAATTAATTAATAATTGATCTATATTTGTATTGTTTCGTTTTCATCTAGTCACGAATTATTAAAAATTGTTTGTGATTTCAGTGCAAATGTTATTTGCTTCTGTCAAACGGTAATTGCCCTCACTGTTTTTATTCAGTTCAGTTACCTCAAATATAAGCATTATTTTACTTCATAAATGCGCTCTTTCTTGAACAAACTTTCTCTAAGTAATACTTGTCAAAACTGATGAGGTCAGATAACTAATGAGGTCGTCAGTCTAATTCTATTCGCATCACAAGTACTTCTTTATTTGATTTGTATGTGTGATTCACTACTGATCTGGATGACATGCAGTAGTGATTTATTTTTTGCACTGTCTTGCATATAATTCTAATTTATTGAAAACAGATGTTTTGATCTTTATTTTGAATTGTGCAGGAGTAATTTTGCTTTTTATCTCTCTTTTAAGGCTTAATTTGCACTTTTTGCACGATTTTATTTTCGCTTGCACAATCAATCAAAAAGTTTAAATTAGATAAATAATGTGCATTTTTAGAATGCACATTTTGCTTCAATAGTTTTTCCATGAAATCATATCATTGAACGTGCATTGTTAGTGGAATGCTTCATCTTGCAACAGTAATACAATTTGTTGTCTAAATGATTCATGAAGTTAAAACAGCAGTAATTACTTTTTGATATACTTGATTTGGTCACAAATATTTTTCTTCACAAGACATTCACAATTTTGATTCATTTTTGTTTGACAAAAATGAATAATGAATCAATAATGAATCAAAAATGAATCAAAAGTTGAATCAAAAATGAATCAAAAGTTACAATTTTAAAGAAGAAAATTATATTGAAATGTGCAAAAATTGCTGTTGAAAATATTGAAGGTAATCGTCATTAAAATAATGTCACATTTTAGTAAGAGGTAATGTTAATGCGGCACATCGGACTCCAATTTCAAATAGTTCAAATGACCTCTTTGTGCACGTACAAATGGGTGAAACTCTTTCAATTGTGATAGGAAATGATGTTCAACATATCAGTGGTTGGTTAATTTACCTATTATTGGCATTTTTATATAGAAATAATTTTTATTCTTTGTTATTTTGTAAAAAAAAACTCTCACTGATAGAGTAACTTTTCTATTCTTAAGTAATATTCTAGGTCCAGCTACTGTTCGTATGGTAAATCAAGCTGGTATGTCTCCTTCTGCCCTTCCATTACATGTTCCACCTGGACATATGGTTCAACAAATGGTTGATGAACAGGTTTGTAATAATGTTTTTAATTACTTTCAGATTGGTTATTAATTTAATCTTAAGAGAGTACTTGTATGTTTATGTATGTGATCAATAATTAAGGAAAGGTAATTAAATTAATATTTCAATTTTGTAAAATTCAAGAAATACACAGAAAATAAGCAGTGATAAGCAAAATAGTTCAGGAGCTTTTTAGTTTGCACAAGAAACTGTAAACTACTATAGATTGCTAGCCTTTGTTAGCACCAACAGTAACCATTTAAATTTAACATTATGGTCATTATCATGGTCAGTTAATCGTGTAATATCTCATCACCACCATTTTGTTGTTGAATCAATTTAAGTGCTGTTTGTTTATGCAAGAGTGATATTAAAGCTTCGATTTAGCTGTATCTATAATATTGACTGAAACCTTTAAGAAGTGCAGTAATATTAATTTGTAGGGTATTTTGCGTCATCTAATCCTGTCGCCGGAAGCTGCACCTGCATCTCGTATGATGCCGGTTAGTTGTGTGTTTATCATTCCTCTGAAATGCTTTTTTATTGAAATAACTAAATTTTGCCTTTATTTGATTATTGAGTTAATTGCGTTAAGTAATAAAAATAAATTCAATTAAAAAATGGGATTACATCTAAACATCATAAAGCCATTGAAGTAGTTCAATTTTCGTACTTTACTGCTGATTGTTTGCGAGTGTTGACTGATATGCGAAGAATTTTATTAAAATAAATAAATACCTTTTAAAAAAGAATTAGCTTTTGTGAAATTCATGATTTAGAATTTGAAAAAATGAAACTTTGTGTTAAGTTTTTCAGTCAGTAATAGATAAGAAATGTTTGAGTATGAGTATATAAGTTATGCATGAGATGCCAGATGTCTTGGAATCGTTGAGTCTGATATGTTAAGATTGATCTGCATAGTTTTGTAGTGATAAAACTTTTGCCATTGAATAATTTTTGTAGTTTTGATATATATAAATAAAATGATAATTGCTTGTAAAAAGACAGTGAATATCTATTTAAGAGATAATACTGAACTAGGAAAAGTCATTATATAATAAAGCAATATTCTAGTAAGCAAATTGGATATTGTAACTGCCTTTACGCATTATCATTTCATGTATTCGTATTACTGATTAAAAATTAGTATTGGAGTAAAATGACTGGCTGTTTTTTCAATTGTATTAAATTAGTCTTCAAGATTATCATTTTAGTGTGATTATAGAAAGCATTTCAGAAATCTTTACTTTTTGAAACAACAGTTAGTCATGTAGTTGTTTTCAGCATTTCGATCACGTTGTCTTGATATGATTTTGCTGTAAGTGATTAGGCTAGAATTAAGGCAATCATATTTTGTTTGTTTTGATAAGTTAGTGAATTGCAGGCTGGTCCGCTGACAGCAGCAGTCAGTCCGAATGCGCCTCCACCTCATTCGGGAGTGACAACATCGCTTAAGTCATATGTTCATAATTCACCTTCACCACCAGTAGTGCCTCCATATCCGCCCCCTGCGGTACCCTATCCTCTGCATAATAACACTGAATTTGTTGAAGGTACAGTTAATTTTTGGTAGTATTAAAAATTTTATGTATTCTACTGCTTTGTACAAATATCTATTAGTTTTTTTCAAGTTATAATTATCACTCACTATCTAGTAAATAGATAAGACTTTACAATTTATGATGATTAAAATTGCGCTTTTCTAGATACTATGCATAAGAACTGGACTCCACACTCAAAGAAGTTTGCTGCAGCTCATGTGATTCAAGTACAGACAAACAATACCGAAGAACTCGTATGTGCTTATTCTGAATTATGATAGGAAAATGCAAGGTGATGTAGAAACAATGCCTCAAAATAATCAGCTCAATATTTAAATTAAGCAACTTTAAGGAGCAGAGTCAGTCAGGCGCTTCAGTGACTGAGGAAGAAGAGTGGGAGCGACTTAATGAAATGCTTTCTCGGATGCAGTCACCTCAGGTATGTTATATTTGAATTATTCTAATTGTTTTATTGCTACATTTTTTTGTTAAAAATTAAACATTTTTAAGTTGATGGAAATAAGTAAAATTTTATCATTATCAGATTCTTCGGGTGGCAGCAAAAGAAGCAGACATTTCTTGGCAAGAATTGGACACATCTGAAGCATCTGCACCTGGTGGACCTTTTCCGCAAATTGATGCATCTGAATTCACCTATGATATTGTACTTTTTGAAAGTGTCGGACGCGTTGTTAACAGTTACAGGTTAGATTCGTATTATTTGATTGAAAGATAAAACTCATCATATTGTATTATTATTAAATATAGAAAAGAAACTGCAAATAACTTAATAGTTTTTGAAAAGAATGTATTTTCGTTTCGTATTTAAATTCAGAAAAATGCCTAAGACTTTGAAAATGCTTTGTAGATGTGAGCCTGATTCCGGGAACTGTGTACGCTTGTGTCGTCTTCGACCTAATACTGAATATTATGTGCAATTAAAAGCTTCCTTAGAAGAACGTGGTTTGCAAGGCAGTCCATCGACGGCAGTAAAATTCAAAACACTGACAACTGTGCCAGAATCTCCAAATCCCCCACGTTTAGTTTCATGTACACAAAATTCAATTACTGTTTCATGGCGTCCAACTATTGATAATGGTTCTCCTATTACATCATACCGTCTAGAATTGACACCTGTGAGTAAATAATTGTAATTATCATAAAAATTTTGGAGAAAAATTTGTTCTTAATCTGTAATTGACTATTGAATGAAATCAAAATTTTTGCTTGTAAAACGTTGTACTTGATAATTTTATTAGCGATTGATGAAGAATAATAAGTAAGTTTTAGGAGTGTCAGCAGCAAGAGAATTACGAGACTGTTTATGAAGGTTTAATGGAGCAGTTTAAAATCAAAGGGTTGATGGCTTCAACGCGATATCGGGTTCGTTTAATTGCAACTAATAGCGATGGCGATTCGCAGCCATCTACGGCAGTTAGCATATGTACATCAACTGCTTTGCATCCACCAAGACAGCCGCACTGTCCTCAACTTGTTTCTCTATCATCGAAGTCAATAAAACTTTCTTGGCCTGCTCAATCTCAGAATTTCTATACGGTTTGATTTGTTTTCTGCTCACAAACTATTCTCTGTACATTAATAGTTTGTTAAAATCAGTCATTCACACAGTTTATTGTCATTTGAAATTAAATTAAAAACTTTTTGACTTTGTTTTTGACCGTTCATTACAGTTTTAGCTGACATTATAATTAAGCTTAGTTTACGTCGAACTATTTTTGTACAATTTGTGCTTCGTAGTTATCTTAAATACTCAGCAGATAAATAAATGATGCAAAGTGCACAAAAGTTTATCTGATTTTGTTATCTTCTCTGAATAAGTAATTATTGTCTTTAGAAGGTGGAATTTGAAGCAACTGTAAATTTATTTATTTTAAAATTTCAGTTTGTAATACATATTTTGATAGATTAATCGAAACAGTTATGATTCAGCTGGAAATGTGTGATAATCAAAAGAAGGAGTATACAGTTGTATGCAGACGTGCTCAGTTATCTTCAGCAAGCATCAACGACCTTATTAGGTGTGTGTCATACTGATGTCAACACTTTAGAGGAAACGTGAATTTCCTGTATATCATTATAGCTTATTCACTTACTGCAGCAAATATTGTTATTAATTTGTTAGTAATTTGAATATGGCCAATTTTGCAGTAATCATCAGTATAGCTTTCGTTTGATTGCTCACAACGATGCGGGTGACAGTGAGCCATCTGAAGCGCTCATTATACGAACTCCATCTTCGGTACCAAGTGTAACTGCTTCACCTCCTGCTGTACCTTCACGACCACATATTATTTCGAATAGTGAATCACACCTTGAAATTGGTTGGAAATCAAGTCGGGCAAACGGAAATGAATTAGTTTATGTAGTGGAAGGAAGTGTAGACGAAATGAGCTGGAATGTTGTTTACAAAGGTGTATCGAGCAGTGTTCAGATTCGGGATTCCGAAATGCGTGCCTTCAGGGTAGCTGCTTTAAGGAAACAGTTGCAGGTACATAGCTAATTTGGTCTTCGTTCAATATTCACAAATTTTTCGTGATAGCAAAATTAAATTAACTTTAAAAAATGTATGCATACATTCTTTTGTTTATGAACAGAAAAATGTGCATTGCTTTTTTTGGTAAATATTTTTTGATTGAAAAAATTTTTCGCAAATTTTTTTTCCTACAAATGATATGATTAGTAGATGGCATTAATTGAAAACAAAAATTCAATATTCTTTAGTGATTGGAAAATTGGATTAATTATGTTAATTAGTTTGGTAATTAAGAGCTTTTTTGTGAGGTGTAAGTGAAAATTCTTTTTCCAATGGCACATTTGCTTGAAGAGCGAATGGAGCGATATTTTGCGTGTTCGACGAGAAGAGAAACAACGTGCAGTATCGGTTCCGGGACAGTGTGCTGCACCAAGTATTACAGAAGTCTGCAAAGGTTGTCTGCGTATTCAGTGGAGTCCACCTGAGAATGCTTCCTCATCTCTGATTTACCAAGTTCATCGTGTCAATTTGCAACCTTCTAGTATTATTTATCAAGGTAAATTGCACTTTCCGTTCTGAAGTAAACTAATCTGTTGTCGAATCATTCAAACATCATTTATTTTTTCATTTTGTTACTGATGATTAGAGTAGTGCAAAGCGTGTTAATGACACACACTCCTATTTATCTTACAAATTATAATGAGTGGTAAATCTGTTTTGGATAAATAATTAATATTTGTCGCAAGTTATATTTTTTCTAATAATTATATTAAAAATGATTCAAGCTAAGTACTGGTAATGAGAGTGATTATTAAAATGATGAATACTATAGGTGAAGCAACAATGTTTGATGTGTCAAACTGTGTGCCGGGTGAAGAAATGGAAGTACAAGTACGTGCGGTTCGTGTTTCATTTGATGGTACGCGTTTGGAAGGTGAATGGAGTAGAGTGGCAGTAGGACGAACAGCCCCGCAACCACCGTCACCGCCGGTTGACGTGCACGTAGATAGCAATAATGTGCTACACTGGTCACCTCCTAATAGCAGCAATGGAGCTGCAATCACTGAATACATTATTGAGAGAATTCTTGTACATTCTTCGTCTCCATCTACGTTAGTTTTTTCTCTTGTTACCTCTCAGTTACTTTTGTATTCATTTGTATGAAAGATTTATTTGCGAGAGAAATACCAGGTATCTTTTTAAATAAAAATAGTTAAAAATAAAAATTTATTATTGTTATTAGCATGCATAGAGTACTATATTATACAATATTACATATATTATATATTATTTTTTGTTATTTTTATTATATTGCGTCATTTTATGCATATTGTATTATATTAATGCTCTTATTATTTAGTTGTTAGATCTGATAAAGTAAAGTGAATTTTGCAGATATAATGAAAAAATATCTAGAGTGGTATAAGTTTTAAATTGTTCAACATCTATTCATCAATATATTATTCGATTGATTAAAATAAAGGCTGGAATGTTATACTCCTGTTAATTTTGAAGCAAGTTGGAAGAGGATAACGACCAAAGTACCAGTGGAGAAAGCACTGGATGGATGATTAAGCGTGAGAGCGCAGAAGTAACGAGCGTGAGTGTTGCTGAGGGTCAGCCTGGATGCAAGTATCAACTGAGTGTATCTGCAGTGAATAGTGGCGGAACAAGTCTTCCCAGCGAGTGCATTTATCTATCCATACCATCACGAACACCTGGCGCTCCTTTTAATTTTCAAGCACTTCCCCAAGGTAGAAACGTTTTACTGTGACTTATATTTGAATAACTGCTTTAGTATTTGAACAATTAAGTTGGAATCTAATTGCTGGTTTTTGTTAGTGTATTGTGCTACGTGGTGTTTCTTAGCTGATTAGTTTGTCTTTTGGTTATTATTAGTTTGTAGTTTAATTGAACTTACTTAATTAGTTGGTACTAAATTTTTTGCAGGTTGTCGACAGCTTCAAGCATCTTGGCGTGCAGCTTGCTGTAATGGAAGCGAAATTTCGGCTTATAGAGTTTGTGTGCTTGAAGACTGCAGCGGTAGTGAAGTCCGCTTACTACAGTTACCGGCTTTAGCGTCTGAGTGTATTATTGATTCATTAGAAGCGGGTCGTACGTACAGGTTATTCTGGATTCTGTTTTCTTCATTTTTTATTCGGTTTTTTATATGAAAGAATGCTGAAAAATTTAGCAAAAATTGTATATTAAAATTTTCTTCTAGGTTGTCAGTATGTGCTGTAAATGCTATTGGCATAGGTGATTTGTCGTGGGCAACAGCTACAACATTAGCACCTCCACCACAACCTCCAACTTTGCTTTGTTCGGAAGCTGGACCAAATTACTTGAAACTAAAATGGAAACCATCTGGCAACGCTTTGACACTTAGCGCTGCGCAGTATTACTATTATTTAGAGAAAGAAAACGATAATGGCAAATTTTCGCCTGTTAGTTTCAAATACAATTTATTTGCAACTGGTTTACTGAGTTCACTGCACAATGATAAAGAAGGTTCACAGATTCACAAGAGCTGAATATGCAAATATTCATAGCATACTCTGCATTTTAGCTAATATATTAAGTTTAATTCTTGCTAATTGATGTTCTCATAGTCCATAATGATATGAAAAAAACTTTTATCATTCAGATTTATGAAGGTGACAATCGTTATGCAAAAGTAAGAAATCTGAGTGAAAGTACAAAATATCGTTTCCGTATTCGTTGTTCATCACGGGTTTCCGGAGCTGGTCCATGGTCTTTGCCATTTGAATTTTCTACTGAGCAACTACCACCACCAGCAATACGTTCTGCACCTACAGTAACTGAAGTTGCTTCGGGTTCTTTTCAAGTAATTCTTTAGACCTTTAATTTTCTTTTCACTGTTTGTCTTTTGTGGCGTTGAGGTACTTTGAACCATATTGCAAATTTATTAAATAAAGACAATGATCTACTTTTGGTACAATTTCCATACTAAGTCATTATATGTGCGTGGAATGTGAGAATAAATTAGTAAATGTATATTGCGTTTTTTAAGTTTTGAGTTTAATAGTAGAGGCTGTAAAAATTTGATCAGTAGAAAAATTTCTAAAACTAACACTATGCATTACAAAAGTGGAAATTTCGAGTTATACTAGTTAAGAGTTGGAAACTATTTAGTATTTTAATTAGTATAAACGTAGGCAAGAATTATGAATTATCCTGTAATGAAAATCGTTCATTATCATGGTGTCTAAAGGTTTGTTATACGGAACTGGTATCATATCTTGCTTCTGAAGTTTCAATAACATTTGTGCATGATAATCGTGAGTTGTTTTCAAGGTGGAATGGACTCCGGTTCGTTCTTCATTGGCCAATGGGAAAGAGTCTTTGTTGTATCGTCTTCAGGTTGCATCCAGAAGTTCTGCTGAGCGTTCGAATAATGTCTGGAAAACAGTAAATTATTTTTTATTGAAAATATCTCGTACTTTTTTAAAACTAATTTAGAAAGCTGTGAAGTATTCTCATATTTATGCTATTTTTCAATTTTTTAGTGAATATGAGTTGATGGAAAGTATGCAAAGTAGTAATATTTATAATAATTGAATCCCTCTTTTAGTTGACTGTAAATAGAGCACTTTTTTAGGCATATGAAGGTGTATCTACTTCGTATTCGCTTTCCACTAGTGAAAGTGTTCAGCTTCGTGTACAGTGTGTTCGAATCAAGGATGGAAATGAAAGTGTTTCAGCTCCTTCAGCTATTCAATTTGCGACTCCTTCTCTGGCAATAACGCATCGAAAAAAAACTCTTGAAGGGACTACACAGGACGTGTTAGCTATTCAGGCAGAGGATATTACTAATGTTCAATGGATACAATATCACATATTGTCTGATAAACACTACGCATTTGTTATTTTGGTCAGCATGAATTTTCATTTCCAGTTTATAATGCTCAAACTAATATATTCTTAAATATTTGCTACAAGCTAACGCATAGTTTTGTACCACATATCGTCAGATTTTATAATAAATATACTTTAGCAGTAAGTAAATATACTAGTAAATATATAAATCTATCGTCAAAAAATAATGTAATCATTACTTGTTTAAGCAAATCTATGCTATTTCACTGACATAATTAAGTCTATCCTCAAAAAATAATTTAATTCTTTAAAGGTTTGATCAGACAGTTTGTCTAAATCTTGTTACAGTTATTTTAATATTTGCCAGAAAATATCACATAATATTGACAGACATTGTTGTTCCAGCTGCTTTTCGCCGGTATCGCATTTGGGGTCGCATTGGTGCTGGATGCATTTTTATTTGGGCAATCATAATAATCGGATGCATGTCGAAAAAGCTTTGCTAGAGAAACTGTTGATATGTATTTTTGTAATATCAACAGATTTGTGGGAAAATCAAGTATTTCCTGAAAAAAAAACTGTCAAGGACAAAAACTGCAATATTACTTTGTTTTTCTCTAAATTTACTATCACTTTTTGGTTTTTTATTTATTTGGTTTTTATTTATAGTTTGGGGTTTTTATACGGTATATTCGTTTATTTACATAGCTGCGATAAAAAAGCGTTAATTTATCATTCGTTTATCTTTATTGTTGTTTCTATTTCTTTTTATAAACAACCTTTATTTATAAAAAACCTTTCTGCTCAGTTCTTGTTTATTGTAGTCTTCATGAAACTCATCCTGTGATAGCTTGAAATACGCAGTAATGTGAAAAATTGTCTATTAATCTGTTTTCAAGCTTTTCTTTACACTCGGTTTTGTTTAAAATATTTTTAATTTGTTTGTTTAAAGTACCATAATAGCTATTGTTATACAGAGTAGTCAAATATCAAAACTAAGTTAACTTTGCTCACTGTTTATCAAGTACTGTCTGTGGTACTTGGTAGTTTAGCTGGCTCAAGCACCTACCCATCCACCTAAACACACACATACACATACAATCCTTAATTTTTTCTCTTCTTTAAAATAATTAACAAAATTTAGTTTTAATTTATTAGAAGGTAATAAGGAGTAGGAATGGTTTTTGCTATCCATTTCAAGAATCCAAAAAGTTCAAAAGATTACTGAGCCGACCTAACCTGAAAGTAATATAGTAAAATGCAATTATGCTGCTTTCAACAGTTCATGAATGAGATGCATGCAGTATTATGAGACATATTTGTTTACTTATTTCACGTTGAATATTACTCTCATTGCTTTACTAAAATGGATGCATGCTTTAAGATTCTCTCCTTATGAACTGTGTACTGTCAACTGCTTCTTCACTCATATCTAACTAAATCACTTCTTTTTTTTACGAGTCATTTTTCAACTCATTCATATAATAACTCATTTATTACTAATGACAATTACTATTATTATTGTTATCAATAACAATTAAACTATTGACAATAGTGTATTTAGTAACTTTTAATAGCAGTATTTACACATGCGCATTTGTTGTTTGATCATTATTACTGTACTGTGATCATTCAGTATGAATACAAATATTTAAAGGCGAAAAGGTAAACTGTTGCAGTGTATAACATGGTGCGAAGGTACCGATTGAGGTATTTGTTTATACTATGCTTTCTTGATTAGATACATAGACAAAAGTAAATAAGTGCAATACTTTGCTGCTGTTCTTTTACTTAATCCGTTTATTGTTTACTGAGAGGTTAAAAATATCATAATCCATTTGTACTTAATGCCCAGTGCACTCCTCAGTGCTACATATAGTTTAGATGCAAGAGATTTTACCGTCTGATGCTTACATTATCTGTTTCCATCATCCAGTATCAGTTTTCTTCAATGGCCATTCCTGAATTCCCGTATATATTTTTTTTTGCGAGTTTCACTTCTTGTTATTCATTACCGCTGACTGTAATGTTTCTATCCATCTGTGCTCTTAATTTATTATCCATTATTGTACTTTTATACTCTCATCTAGTTTCCGTTTTCAATTAGTGTGACAAATTTTTTATTTTTCACATTACTATTATCATTATTATTACTATGGGAATATGTACTATCAAGTTTTTTTCCTCATGTGTTCCTTTTACCTAAAAAACATCATCTTATCTGTTATTCATACTGTTTTAAGTATACATATTTAACTTTATAATGATTTTCCTGTCCAAATTATCATAATAAATGGGTTACTCTAGTCAGTGTTTCTTGCTAGTACACAAAAACATTTTGCTTTAGTCTTTTTATCATAACAGTAAGTGAAACAAGTCATTCCAAAAATCTGTCGACAAATAAAACTGTAACTTTAGTTTACCATTAAAATTTAAGTAATCAGAAGCATGAACTGACTTTCTTGATAAAGTCGATATAATCTACAACTTATATACGTCAGCTGTATCAATGTCAGTTACTTAAAGTAAGCATGAAGTGAGTGTATGAAATGTGTTCCTTGCAATGATAACCAATAGTAGTTTGTAACAGAGAACTAGAAATTAATCAAAAAACATTGCTTTTGGACTGAAATATCCGTGCAAATTTTTTAAAAGATGAAATAATTGAGTAATAATTATGCTGCAAAGAATGAGAGATACCAAGCTAATATTTATCGCATATTTTACAAGAACAAAATAAAGTTAAACAATAAACCAACATTAACTGTTCAATTTGCGTTTTATGATGAAAATGAATTTACCACTTCGAACAATTTCAAGACTGTATTCAGCAAATGCAATACTTATTTTTTCCACACGTCCGATGTATTGGCTCAAAGGTTCACCAAGAGATAACATTTTCAGAATCTGTGATGCCAGTGATTCATTATTCTCCAATTCACCTTCCGACTGAAGCATAATCAATAAAAAGCTTTAAAACAATCATATTGCCAGCTCCAAATTTAATAATACTTTTTAATAATCATTTAACGTTTATATGATAATCATTTAATGTAAAATGATTTATTAGGTGAAATAATAACATGAAATTACTATAACACCGAGGAAGGAGAATACAGGAATGGAAAACAGAAAGGGAAATATTGCGAATAACTGAGTTCAAATTATATTCATCTAATTAATACACACAACTCTTCCACATAGTTTCTCTTCTACTTGCTAATAGATTAATTAAAAAATATAAAATATTACTCAAAGCTCTCAAAAAAATTTATAATGACATCATATTTTCTCATTATAATTTTCATGCAGTATTCTGAATCTATAAAAATCACGCCACATATTTTACGAGACTTTTACTTGGTACAAAAATTTTGATAAAGTCATTTTACAAGTAAAATGTTTTTAACTTTTGTCCCTCTCAAATTTTGAAATTTTTTCGAGTATATCAATTACAGCAAAAAAAATTAAAAGAAATAAATGAAAAGTATAGAAACTCGAAACTTGCAAATTTTGAATGCATTCAACAACTAAAACATTATTGGCATTCTTTTTCTAGATTCAGAAAAGTGAAAAATGGATAAAGTAGATATTTGCTACTGTCTCAAACTATTAGACGAAATGAAAGATCATTAAATGATTACTTCTACACAAAGGGGATTAACTGTAATAAAGTTTTCTATTCCAATCAAATTATTAAATATTAAGGAACTTAAAAACATACTTTAAAAAACTGTAACTTGACTAACTTAAAAAAATAAAAAATTACTTATTTCGTACAGAAATAACTTAATCATTCAAGGTTAAAATAATTGTACACATAGTTTCTAATACGAACAAAAAATTTTATGGAAAATTTAAGGCTGAAAAATCAAACTTATAATAGTAACAAAGCTATATTTAATATCGTAATGAAGAATTTTATCTAGGGTTTATACTTTCCGATCGCTAAAACGGAAAGTACATGAATATAAAACAATAAAATTCCATTAAAAAACAACAAACCTTGATAACACTACCGTCCGAAATTACTATATATCCTTTACGACCTGAGATCTGATTCAAAAATGAAAAACTACCATCCATATTGTAGGACCTAAACCATTCATTCATAGTATAGAAGTTGCTTAATTTTTCGTAACTTAAAATGATTACTTCTGATAAAGAATATTGATCCTTTCCACAAGATATCGATAAAACGAATTCGCTAACAAATTTCCCAAACAAACCATTTCCAGTTTCTCAACTCAATCACCTCACAATCACTTCCACTTTTGATAAATGTTGTGCATTGAAAACCGTTAATCTAAACCGATCGAAAAAATCAAAATAAACCTTCTAAATCTGATGTTCATTTAATTTACTTTTGAAACTCTTAACATATTCCATCGAAATAATGACATCACATATCTATATAATTACTTCCTTTGGTCAATATTGCGAAAATTAATGATGAAAAACTTTGTAGTAAAACTAAAGACTAATTTCAGTATCTCATATTTTAGCCGAAGAAAAAATAAATAGTGGAACAACCACCAGAGATAAATGATGACTTTACAAATTTATTAAGTTATTCACTTGTTTTTTCGATCTTCGAGTGAGGTACAAATACTCATATATATATATTTACTTATTTATGAGTATTTTTAACTCATTCGTAAGCAAAATTTATCGCAAATACAAACAATAGAGCGCTTTTATCTTATTAAATCAGAAAAAAAAAGTTAATAAACAGTACACTGGAAATGATAACGATAATTATAAATAAATATCTACATAGATACATACATGAACAATACATGAATTTCAAATACTTTCCCTTTAAATAATTTCTTATTAATAAATTTAAGATTATAAAATTTGAAGTGTTACCTCATTCTTCATATATATTTATATTTTTACAATAACTACAGTCTCTTTTAACTCAAAAATGATTGATAAAATACCAAACTAAGAAGTGAAGATTCAGAATCGTAGAATAACTTTTTGTTTACCGAAAACTTAAATCGTAAGCATGCTGAACTTGTCTTGTTTTTCAATAAGACTTTCAATAGCATCATCAAATCGCTGACAGCGTATTGGCATATCAATAGAATAGAATGGATTTTTTAGAGCAAAATCTGCATAAAGTTCGTAAATTCGTCGCAAAAGCCCATCAACGCCACTACTCAATGAAACAGAGCCAACCACAACAAATTTTACGCCTGTAGTCGATTGATAACAGTGAAGCCTACAAATGAGATTTCTGAGTTAAGGTAAGCAAGATGAAAAACAAAAATAATTACATTAAAGTCAAAGTGGAAAGAAAATCTAGTGTGAGAAGCCCTTAACTACATTATTTTGCTTACTGTTTGTGACTCCAAATTTATCAAAAATAAGCAGATTTTCAATCCACAGTTTAAGCTATTTTTTCTATTAGTCATTTTTCCGAAACCATAAATGTAATGACAGACTTTCAGCTGTTGAATGAATAAACAATTATGAAAGCAAAGAGTGTTTACAGCAGCAAACAAAACACTTTTTGAACAGTTCTCAGCTCTGATCAGAAAATTTATAGTACTAAATACATGAGATTAAAAAACTGATAATAACAAAGTGAACATACTTGAAATGACTCGTTGTCAACACTTCAATGCCTGAACTTTTATATACAGGACTTAGTTGTGCAGCAATTGTATAAAGTGAATGAAATGTGCTTGAAAGAATGATCTTTTCATTTGTAGAAATTGTTGGTGGCTCAAAACGAATATTGAGAGGATATGCGCTTTCATCCCGAATAACATCTAAAGCAACCTTTTCTACACCATCGTAGATTACTTTGCATGCTTGTACTGGTGAGCCATTTATTGCAGACACGGTATATCTAGACTTCTTAAATGATTAACATCAAGTAGCTAAAATTATAACCATGTTTCCAACTTGGAGAAAATTTCATTCCGTTTTCTTCTGCGTCATAAATTCATCACGTCAACTTCTTCTATGACGCACTATTATAATATGTTGCTTTAAATAATAGGCACCATTTAGTATGATCAAACGTATTATTATACTTTATTTAAAATGCAGAACGAAAAAAAATAAATGAAATTCCTTATTACGATGGTCACTAATTAAATTTTAATTAAAACAAATTTTTGACTAATTCAAGTTACAAAAGAAGCAATATAACACAATACCTCAGTCCAATTCCATGTCGTTCGCCGAATACAACAGTCACTTTCTGGTCAACTATGTCAAGCACAATATCAATAGGGTAAGTAAATGTTTTTTCAATAGCTGTATGACTAGTTTTACCTTCCCAATCGTAAATTAAGCTTCCAGCGCGATTGATTATAAAGATATGTCGTATAAGCATTGCATATCCCTTATTCTACAATACATATATTCTAGCAATTACTGAAAAATCTAGCAATTACTCAATACAATCTTTATACTTTTAAATACGAATATATCGATTTTGATATTGTTATAATAGTACAAATTGATAATTAATGTATGTGAACTCAAGTAAAGTTAAACAATTCAATTTCAATACACTAAAAATATTTAAAAGTAAAATTTTTCTTCAAAAAATAAACAAAATGAAACAAATATTATTGGCCTTAAGAATATATTAGAAAAATAATAAAAGGCATAAGATATTATTACAAAAATTTATGCTAACAACAAAATTAAGTGACATTAAGACAGTTAACTTTTACAAATATCATATTATGATTAATCTAATAGCCGTGAAGTAATTGTACGTAGTTTGATCTTTTTATCGGGAAATAAATTCGTCAAGCTTCGAAGATATTAAATTAGATAGTTCAGTAATTTGTTTACCATTAAAAGGATAACAATTTACACTATATACTCAACCAGAACTACAAATAAAATGCTTGATCAAAATTAGTCTCAAGGCAAAATTTTAAAAGTTGTGACTGTAGTTAATATTTAATGCAAGACCATTGTGAAACTGATATTCCAATTTGGTAGCTGACTTGTTGGATTGTTTATTTGAATGCGAATATTATAAATAAATAATGAGGAAAGTAATGCTGGCGTTTGTTAAGGAAAATCATCAAAGTAACCTTACTAGAGAATATGTTCGTTTGTATAGATCATGAAATCAGCGAGGTCAAGAAACAACCGCAACTAATCAAGATTGTGTCTAGCCTATGCTATATTTATGATATATCTATCCATGCTAGTTCTATATTTTATTCTAAATCGCATTTTGATACAATACAAAATAGCTTCTAATAAAATATAAACTCAGCTAGGCTTTAATTATGCAAATTTTGTTGGTAATTGAATTCTTGACTGCTTAATTTTGTATACCGAGTGATCAGTGTACAGTATTGTGCTATGTATTCAACAATAGCCTAAATTGTCGTTTACTGCCAATAAATACTCAAATGTAGGCGATACAAGTGACTAGTAAATGAGAAAATAAACGTCTAAGCTCAAATAAACGTCTAAGAAATATTTGCTAAATTTAGTCAAGACTAAATTCATGGACAAGTTCAAGCTAAATATTTTTTTCTCTCATAAAAATGCACAAAAGAAAAAGCATATATAAATGTCAGCTTTGA